TAGATTCCCTCCCCTATCGGCAATGCCTCCATAGCCTGCCCATGGGATTTCATGCATTCTCTCATATATGTTAAGTCCTATGGAGTCAAGTTTGTGTAAGTTCATCCATTGGAGCCTGTTCAGCAACTTTGAGGACTAAGCCTTGGATGGCACAAACGATTTAAAACTGCGATCAGCAGAAACACTCACAGAGAATCAAAAGTGTACCCATCAAGTCAAATTAATGCTGTGTTTTTCTGAAAGTGAAAAGCCACGTTGTTTATACCTGTGCAGACCATGGATGATATCACCTTACTTTCAATTACTTTTCCCCACACCTCAGACCACCAGTGCTTATTCCATCCCATAACTACCCCAGACTATCTTGGGAAATAGATTCAAGTCCAGGACTCCCCTGTCCCCATGCTTGGCTGCTTGAATTAAAGCGCCTTCCTTTTTCATACAACCCCGGTGTGTCTAGAGTGGGCTTTTCCTGGGCAGGGGCCCTAAAACAGGCCTGGTTCAGTAACACAGATCATATATGAGCTTTCCTGTGCTGTACCCAATTCCAGAAGGCTCCCGGTACCCTCTCCCAGCCAATACCTGGGCAAAGATAAATGTTCTTTTAACCTCTATTCCTGTAGATGAGTTTAATTGGTTTTCAAACTTTTTTTTCAATTTTTCAAATTTTATTTATTATTTTTATTTTATGTGTATGAGTGTATTGCCTGCATGTATATGAGTGCACCGTGTCGTGCAATGCCACGGAGGTGAGAAGAGGGCTTCAGATTCCCCTGAACTGGAGTTGAAGACTGTTGGTAGCTGCCTTGTGGGTGCTGGGAATTGAACCCGGGTCCTCTGCAAGAGCACTCAGTGCTCTTAACAGCTGAGCCATCTCTCCAGCCCCAGTTTTCGAACTTTATGTAATACAGTTTGTGCTTTTCCTATTTCATTTCTTTCACTCATCCTGTTTAGGTTTTTCTACAGAACAAGAGGCTGGACAGGCCAGGAATCTGTGAGCATATGACCACACTCAGTGAGCAGATAGCTGAGATCTGGTATGACCCCAAAGGCGCTGGACCCAAGGGCGGCCTTGGCACCTTTTGGCAGCCAGCAGTGAGAGAAAGGGACAAGGAGGAAAAACTAGATGGGGCAGGGCTGTCACCTGCTTGACACCCCCAGAAGGTTCTGGGGACTCCCAGGCCCCGGGGAGAGACCTGAAGCACTACAGGTGCGCACTGAATGGCAGAGCCATTCCTATTGCCGTGGTTCCCCGTGAGTCAGATGGTAAGTTGGGACCACTGCTGGGGTCGAGCTGGTGGCACGTTCCTAGCCCCTTGGCAGTCGTGGTGGAGGGAGAGCTCCGGTTGGGTTGCCTTACACACTTTGTGCAGGAAGTTCACGCTTCCTTCCTGAGTCCAGGATCCCATCTCTCTGGGAAGGGATCCCATCTGCTTCCTGTTTCCCATTGGAAGCAGCGCAGCGACTTCCATATCCCTTTGGCACACAAAGAAGCTGTTAAAACTCTTACATCTGAGCATATGAGGCTGTCAAGTCTCTAAACAGAAGGCAGTTTCTTTCCAGACTGTCCCTGTCACACCCACTGGAGTCCACATCTGCACTCCAAACTCACGCTGGGGGAGCCTGACAAAACCACATATCTGTTCTCCAGCTGTTTCTTCCACAACAGCCCAGAGCTGCTACCAGGCTTATAAGGAAGTTTATGAAACTAGGTGTTTGTGCAGCTTGATGCCTAGGACCCTCATTAGTGTGCTTCCTGCTTTGAATTCTCCTGCACTGGAGCCTTCACCTGGCTTTTGTGGACCAGCAAACATCTGAATTTGATGGGGGGGGGGTCTGAGAACTCTGACAGGTGCAACTCCTATAAAGTCTGGATTTTGCTGACTGTGCCTGCAGTGGTGTTTAGTAAGTTCCTCTGTTTCCTATGCTTTCCCTAAGCTGGCTTTAAAAAGATCTAGAGGTTTAATCTAATTTGATTTGGGTTTGTTTGTTTGTTTTTTGCCAAGAACACTTCACAGGTGACATTGTGTGTGCTTTCAAAAGAAGGCATACTCTTTTATGATGCTTGCAACTAATTAGCACTGTCTCCATTTTCTTCTTTTATTGTTGACCACCCTGACTCTGACCTCAAGCTACATACCCCTTTTGGCTCATGTCACACACTCCTCCTTTGTACTGTTGTAACTGGATGAAGAATGGTTCATTGATCATAAGCTCATTTCTCAGACAGTATATCCTTGGAAAACAATCAGAAGACTCTGCTAACTTTCAGTTTATCTAAGTAGAACTTTCCTAAATTTCTACCTGTAGTGAATGTCGTTAGTTGTGTCTATTCAGTTGCTACCCCACTCTGATTTTTTTTTTTTCTGGTAGAGCTCATGTCCTACTTTATGATCTGCCAGCTACTCACCCTATGAAGCTCTGGGGGCTTCTAGGAAGCTCTCTTCTTGATGAGGAATCTCATCTCTTCCTGTAGTGTACATGCTGTGTGTGTGTGGGGAGGGCTGTTATTTGGCTGTCTTCTGACCATAAGGGCAGACATGAAGACTGAAACCAATGTGTCAGGTGGAAAAGTGAAAGAAGTCCTGAAATTATTAAGTAGAATAGTTGGAATTTCTGAATCTGAATCTCCCTTGCAAACAAAACAGTCCCAAATTTCAAATTGGGAATAAGAATTAGGGCCAATCTGCAAATGCCCTTATTGAGGGAGGTTGTAAGTTTAATATATTTTCAGTTGATCAAATGTGGCCACAAACAACTTAACAAATACAACGGGAATATTGAAAAAAAATGGCTTTTACATTTTGGCTTACTATTTATTTATTTACTTATTTTTATTTTATGTGTATGAGCGTTTGCCTGCATGTATGTACATATACTGTATGTTTGCCTGATGCCTGCAGAGTCTAGAAGAGGGTGTCAGATCCCTGGAACTAGAGTTAGCAGGTGGTTGTGAGCCATCATATTGATGTTGGGAACAAAATCCAGGTCCTCTACAAGATCAGCAAGTGCTCTTAACCTATGGATCATCTTTCTAGCCCCTTGACTTTCTATTTAAATTCCTGATTTAGGGGGTGTGGGAAGTCTATGGATCTTGCTTTTGAATTTCTCATAAAATTAAACTCCTGCCTACTTTAAGGAAGAGAATGTAGCTCAGTGATAGCAAATTTGCCTACCATGCTCAAGGCCATGGGCTCAATCCCCAACACTGCAAAAGAAGCAAGAGGGCTTCAAAGATGACTCTGTGAGTGGTTAAGGCACTTGTGGAAGCAAAAGGACTGGAGTTCAGATTCCCAGAACCCACACAAATACTGGATGAGAATGGTAGCCCAGCTGTAATTCATGCCTTAGAAGGTGGAGGCAGGAGATCCCCAGAGCAAGCTGGCTTGCCAGACTAGCCATATCGATGAGGTCTGGGTTTGATTGAGAGATCCTGCTTTAAAGAATAAGGTAGAGGGGCTGGAGAGATGGCTCAAAGGTTAAGAGCACTGGCTGCTGTTTCAGAGGACTGGGGTTCAATTCCCAGCACTCACATGGTGGCTAACAACCCTCTGTAATTCAAGTTCCAGAGGAATTTGACACCCTCCTCTGACCTCCTCAGCATTGCACAACACAGGTGCACTTACACACATGCAGACATTACACTCATATACATAAAATAATAAATAAAATATTTTAAAAAAGTAATAAGGTGGAAGAGTGATCAGGGAAGAGTCCCAAGATAAACCCCAGGCATTCACATGCATGTGTATATATATACACTCACACTATGCACACACATGTGTCTACATACTTGTAAACATGAATACACACATCCAAGTACAGCACACACACAGATACCTGGGGAAAATAGGTTTCTCATTCTATTAGAACATGAAGCATTGAATCATCAAAATTAAACTTGTATGATGTTATATTTTAAACAAAATCAACGTTGGATAGACTACAGATTTCAAAATACACAGCAACTTAAAATTAGACATGGAAACTTAGCATCTTTTAACTATGTTGGTGATAGGAATTGGAACTAAAATATTTTCCAGGGATGATTCTCCAAGTGCATAACTGAGAACTGACTGAGTGTTGACTATAAAGCGAAAATTATTTCCTATTACATTCTATGGGACAAAACATTCTATGGGACAAAACATTCTTAAGTAGGAGAATTGGAATTTCTGAATCTCCTCCTTTGTAATAAAACAGTCCTGGAGTTTCAAGTTGAATGTTCAGAGTTAGCAGGCAGGGTGATGAAAATTTAGTTAAAAAACAAAAATACATGGTATGGGCTGAGGATGCAAGCTCAGTGGCAAAGCATTTAAGTGCACAAAGCCCTGGATTTGATGCCCAGCCTTGGATATATACACATATACATATTACCATATGCTGTTTGGGATCTGTTTAAGAAGCAGCCATAGAATCATAAAAGTTCAGGGCAGCTGACAAGCCACCTCATTCTTGCTCTTGTTTCTTGCATTTTGTCTTCCTAGACAGAGTTGTTTGGAAGCAAAGCTTCATTGTGCTATGGTCAGCAGATTATACCTTTGTACCTGCAGATAAGGTGATGACAGCACTGGTTTCAGGAAAACTCTGGCAACAAACCTTCTTTGTGTTGGGCTAGGAAGTTCTGGCTCATAAAGGATGACATCAGCCAGTTCCCCACCCATTTCCATGACTCTCTCACAGAGATTCATTGTTCATGACTTTCACTCTGAATAGCTACTGGCTCTCTCTAGCTTCATTCACTGGGAAGATGACGATCATAAACCCCAGATATCAAATGATCCGCCCTGTTATCAGACTGTGGGTCAGACCATCTTCCCTGGAGTCTTATTAGGAAAGTCTGATCACTCTGACTGTTAACACTATGACTCCTAACCCTCTACTCCCTTGGAATTTTCCCCCACATGTGGATCATTTTTAATATCTCTGTAGGAGGCATCCCATCTCCTGAACCCAACAGGCAAAGTTCCCCATGTTTTCAGTAAAAATTTCTTTTCTTCCTGTGATGATGCCATTTCTTAGTACACCTTTGGGTTCACCGTGAAAACAATGATTCTCTGAGCAGTTGTTAGTAACATTAATAATGTGATTAAGTGGCATTAGTTACTGGCGGATAATTTAGGATGTGTTCCTTTCCAGGTGCCCTGTGAAAATGGTTCGCTACTCTCTTGACCCAAAAAACCCTACAAAATCATGCAAATCAAGAGGTTCCAATCTTCGTGTTCATTTTAAGAATATATGTGAAACTGCCCAGGCCATCAAGCATATGCATATCCGAAAAGCCACCGAGTATCTGAAAGATGTCACTCTAAAGAAGCAGTGTGTGTCATTCTGGTGTTATAACGGTGACTTGGTAGGTGTGCCAAGGCCAAACAGTGGAGTTGGACACAAGGTCGGTGGCCCAAAAAGAGTGCTGAATTTTTGTGTACATGCTTAAAAATGCAGAGAGTAATGCTGAACTTAAGGGTTTAGATGTAGACTCTCTGGTCATTGAGTATATCCAGGTGAACAAATCATCCAAGATGCTCCACAGAACGTACAGCCCTCAGGGCCGCATTAACCCATACATGAGCTCCCCTGCCACATCGAAATGATCCTCACTGAAAAGGAACAAATTTTTCCTAAGCCTGAAGAGGTGGTTGCACAAAAGAAAAAGATATCCCAGAAGAAACTGATGAAACAAAAACTTACGGCACAAGAATAAATTGAGCATAAATCAAATGCAGATAAAAGTAAAAAAAAAAAAACTTTCTCTTTTAGGATCCTTCTGAGAGAGGATTTCAACATAGTCAGTATTAGATATTACAATTAGACAAAGTAAGCCAGAAGTCTAACTCCCTATGAAAAGCTACCTGATCATAATCCCAAGTGAATAAATCGTCCATTATCACAATATAGCTTAAAGCCTTTAAAAAACATAAAGTGACACATTTCAGCAGTTGGATTCAACTTGTCTTGGAAGTCACTGAAGGGAAGAAGGTATTAGGGTTCAGTTTTGGAGAATAAAGAAGAATGAAGAGCAACGTCAAACCCGTGGGGAAGCTTGCTCTCTGCCAGTGGTAGGGCAGGTGCTGGGTTCACTGTTACTGTGGATCTGACACCAGGAGCAAAGAATGTGCCAGAGTCACTGATACCTTCTAAGATGGTACTTAGTGCAGGTATACAGTGACAACAGAGGTGTTTTGGAGGTACTTGTAGGCCTGTTTTGACAGATAACTTTTTCTTGGATCTAATATGTTTGCTGTACCTACCCAATTGATGCATTTGCCGCCATCTCTGTGGCCCAGACTGTTACAAGCATGCCTTCAATGCCATGAAGAGTGTTTGTACTGAGGATAATTTTTCAGGGCTTTGATTTTCCTGTGGTTTTTTTCCTTTCTAACCATACTATGTAGGAATGATGTGAGAGGTAGAATTAGGAGAGAACAGGCAGTCCTTGATGTAAGGAGAATGATGATGACTCGAGACAGCTGAATAAATAACATGTATTTATCTGGTTCTCTTGGCCTTACCCAAGTCTTTTTACAACTACCAGGTATGTTATAGACACATTTTTCTATGAAGCAGACAAACTGTAAACAGAATGAATCCTGACTGATAATCATATCTTTAAAAAAAATAAGAAAATGGAAGGAAAAAGCACAACCATCATTTTCCAACTGAGATGCCTCTATCTTTGTCGTAGGCATCCTTGGGACTGTTCACTGATACGCGGCAATCCTTCATCTGGATCATGAGTTCTGTTTAGATCTGTCCCACATGGGTAACCACACTGCTCCGAGAGAAGGCTATAGTCACAACACCCAAAGCACAGTCCCAGTGGTCCTTCCACAGTGTTTTGTGCACAGAGTTGGAGGTGCTCACAAAATGCATGTGGGGGAATAAAATATCACGTTTAGTGTTAGCAATATTTATGAAGTCTAGCTTCTCCTTCATGCTAATAAGTGTCTGGGGTCAAGGGTTATACCTCATGTACCCAAGTAGTTCTTAGTGTACAAATGTGTGTATCTGAACTGTGGCTGAGGGGAGTGGAAGGCCCTTTTCCTGCATGCTCTGGAACCCTGCATTGTTGACCAGCCTTGTTCAACTGGCAACAGAAATGACCTCCCGCTTTCTTTCTAGGTCTTATACATTCACAATAGGAGTTGGAAAAGGACTTGAGGGATTGTTTAGGCTAAACCCTTTACATTTTAAGTGACTAAATGAGGGTCTGTCTGGCAAAATGAAGTGACTTAGTCTTCTGCAAAACCAAGAAAAAATTTGAGTGTGCTTGAAAGTCATATTTCTCTTTGAAATATTTTCAAATTTTATCTAAAATGTCTTCATTGCTATATATGTCCTCAGATAGTTGTTATAATCAGTTACTTCTCAAGATTTTAGTGAGTTATTTCCCATATGACACATTTCAGAATATTAAATAAGAAGTTCACTAAGTCACCAAGGTAGAATATATATGACAAACCAAAGAAAGGTAGCATAGAAGATGATACCTTCTTTTAAAGGAAGTATTAAAAAAAATAACATGACTCAACTCTTCCTTCTCTGCTACCACCTTTTTCTTCTTCCTCTTTTTCTTCTTCCTCCTCTTCACTAGGGTCTCAGGCTGGCCTTACTATGTATGAACTCCTGATCTTCCGGCTTCTACTTCTCAAATGCCAAGATTACAGCTGTATGCCACCACGTCCAACTTCTCTGCCAAATTTCAAGGTAAAAGAATATTGGAGCTCTGAGGAGATTCAATAAACAGCACTTTCCTTCTCCTGCCAGGTTCTGAGCAAAGTAAAGAAGAAAATGAAGGATAGTGAGAGGTTCTGGTGAGTGTTAAGCGTTTGAGTGTGAGCACTGTTGGTGTGTTAGAGTTTGAGTGTGTAGTGTTTATGGTAGGAATTTGAGAGTAAGTGGTGTTGGTGAGTATGTTAGAGCTCACGTGCAGGACTCTTCACACCACTGTCCACAATAAAAACTCAGGGGAGTGGAGATTGGGAGGGATGATGAGTGAAGAGGCTTTCTCTAGAAGACAGGTTGAAAACACTCTCACCCCAAACCGTCTTTCCTGTAGAAGGGGAAGATGGGGAGGATACTGGGAACTGGTGTGTGTTTTTTGCCTGGAGGTATTCTTACTAAGGAAATTCTCAATAGCAAAGGAGAGGTGACTGGACTGGATGGGACCAGGATTGGTTGGAATGAATTAGGGAAGCTTAGCTCCTGTCCAATAGGGCCACCTAGAGGGGCTATTAGGTTTCAACAGTGAGAAGCTAGAATTCGGCTGTAGAGCTGAGGGAGTTTTAGCTGATAGGGTGGCGTGGGGTGGCGTCAGATGAGAGGTCTCTAGAAACAGGAGGCATGATGATGGTGGTGGTAACGGGTGGTGATGATGGGTGTCTCTGAGGAACCCATGAGATCATCCCGTATAAGGACAGAATGGCTTTAATGTACACCACTGTGTTTCCCAGGGAGAGAGAGAGGCCACTTTACAAGATAACCAGTTAATTAAGAACTCCCTGCTTGAGCCCACAGTGAAATGGGAACATAAAGTTGGAAGCAGGAGGTAGAAGAAGAGTGGGCCCTGCCCTCCCTGCTTGGTGTTCTGTCTGCTGAAGGCCTCAGACAAACAAAGGGAGGAATTTCAATACCAAATCTATATTTTAAAAATTATTACGTAGGACTGGATAGTCTAGCTGCTTCATTGGGACTGTTGGAGACATAAAGGGGCTGTGGGACTTTTTATTAAGATCAGTAGATCATGGGATGTCAGAGGTTTTCATTCTGGGTAAGGAGAACACTCCTAATAAGTAATATGAAAAGAGATTGTGGTAATCCCTTGTTTGAATGGATGGCGTTCTTCTTCAAACTGAAAAGCCTACTCACTTCACTTTATTGACTTTTATTTCTCTAACTAGCTAACACTTTAGTATCTCTAAATTTGCTAAGCAAGTGGCCTGAACCAGCATTTTGGGCACTATGTACCCAGGACACTCTAATAGACCACGGCCTGAATGCTCTGGGTGGCACTTGCCAAATTTTTTCCCAAATGGTGTGTTTTCAGCACTTCCAGGTTGTTCCTCTATTAAGTTATGAACTCAAGAAGGCAAATGTTAAATGTGGTGTATGTAGTTCATAATGTTTTCTTATTTACACCAAGAAGGTCTGTCTTTTCTCTCCCAGTAAGCAGCACTGCTGTTTAAGTTGATGGGTGGTAAACCAAGTAAAATATGATAAAAGTCTCTGTTCAGTCCTGCCAAAACTAGGTAGAGGAGGCCACCTTGAGTGCTCATCAGGGTCTCCTAACACTCTTTGTTGTTTGGTTGGAATAGTTTCCCTGTAAAGGACATTCATTATCCCAAGTCTGCTTTTAGAAGTTTCTCTGTTATACAGGAAGTGATTGAAAACTGCCAATCACAAATCTGGCAGTCCCTGCTTGTGAGCTTAAAGACTGTTCTGATTACGATAATTACATTTTTGTGAATATCCTACCTAGAGAGTAACAATTTTACTATGTCAGGCTACACCACACAAAGATGCATCAATTTCATCTGCAATGAAAAATAGAGCCTAATAGCACAGTTATATTTATATGATAGTCAAACATCAAGATGCAACACAAGCACTTCAGCGAAAAGAATTCTGATCATTATTTAACCTTGAGATGATTAAGGGTGAAGACTTGTCAGCTTTTTTCATGATTTTTGCTGTTTTGATTTGATTTTTTTAAAAATCCATAATTAACATCTATTAACATTTTGGATTCCACTCCAACCCCCACGACATGTGAGTAAGGCAAAAACAACAACAAAGAAAAACGAGTGGGTATGATTAATGGTCAAAGCACGAGTATGAGGTAATTATGAGGTATAATTATGTTCACGTACAACAATGCCATGCCAACTGGTTTCTCCTTTAATCAGTGAAGTTGATGGAAATCGTGAACAATACTAGTTCAATACAAATAAAGCTATTTAGTTATTATAGATGGTGACCACTTAGAGACTAGATAGGGCTTCTGAAAGTGTGGTAGTCAGAACAGCTGCATCTAGCGTTATCCAAAAGTCTGTTGGAAATGCAGATT